CATGATCTATGTAATGATGATTTTTTTGTCTTGTTTCTCTGCTTTCATTCCTATCCCCACTCTTTTCCCCATAGCTTCCCCAATAAGCTCTTCCTAATGGTTCATCACATATATTTAGATATGCATGTTTCTTTGAAGACAATATAGGATTTTTGTTCTTTGGAATTGTGTGTGTGTGTGTGTGTGTGTGTGTGTGTGTGTCCTGTTCAGGACTGGGTACTGTCCTTGAGCTTTATTGCCCAAGGCTAGTGCTCTACCACTTGAGCCACAGCTCCCCATTTTCAGCTTTTCAGTGCTCAATTGGCAATAAGAGTCTCACAGACTTTCCTGCCTGGGCTGACTTTGAACCTGGATCCTTAGATCTCAGCCTCCTGAATAGTTAGGATTATAGACTGAACCACTGGTGACCAGTTATATGTGTGATTTTATCTTGCATATACTATGTTATGCATGTTTTATTTTGGCTTATATTTTCTACTATTAAATATGACATTTACACATTAAATTATATCCATCTTGTTAAGAGCATTTAGATTTTTGCTTCTAGTTGCTGCAAAAAAAAATTCATAGTATACTCTGAAGTCCAAAAAAAAGAAGAAAAAATATTCATGCTCAATTTAACACACTGGGATGATCAAATGAATGTTTATGTATTGCTATTTCTTGAATAAAGAACTTCCAGGGAAGTTTAAATTAATAGCCCTCCATAGGATCACATCAAGACTGTTCTGTCATGAACATCTGTCCAATGTGGTATGTGCAGCCTGTCATTGATTGGGTATGGGGGACAGTGTTGGGGTCACATGTTGTAGGATGTCTCTCCATCCTTGCCCTGTGGTGTTATGCTAGAAATACATTGTTGCCTCTCATTTCTATTCTCTAGTCCCCTTACCTGTGGAAGTATGTTTCAAGACTACAGTAGGGGGCTTGTCTCCGAGTAGTAGTGAACCCTTAGAACTCCCCTACTTATTAGAGAAAGAGATAATAAAATGGCACAAGTGACATCAATAAAAATATCCAAGGTCTTATTTTCAAAAGCATGATCCTCTCTTTGTTTGATAAAAGGGTCTCATACTGATGATCAATCTCATTTTTAAGGTCATGTAAAGAGAGCTGTAGAGTAGACACGGGCATGCTCCCGCAGCCTAGTGACGACCAGAGGTTAGACTGGGACTCCATTTAACTTGTAGTCTAGGCTCCTAGGAACTTCCTGCCTTACCTGTAAGCCAACTAAAGTTAAATCACCTTATTGTTTTTTTTTGATACAGGGTCTTAATGTACCCCAGGCTACCTTGGAACTTACGATTCTCCAGCTTCAGCCTCCTGACTGTTGAGATTTTAGGCATACACCACCCTGCCTAGCCCAAGTATTCCTTTTGAATGTAAGTTTTTTTTAATGGAGTGTATTGAGTATAATTTTCTTTTTTGTGCTAATGAGGATTGAATTCAGGGCCTTGGTTCTTGTTGGGCAAGGACTATACCACTTGGTCCACACTCCTAGTAATTCTGCTTCTCGATTGCTTTTTAAAACGGGCATAATAATTTTGTCTAAGTTGGTCTCTGACCACCATTCTCATATCTTTACCTCCCAAGTAGGTTGGATTATAGGTATGTTCCTGGCCAAGAACATACGTTTCTTAAAGAATATAATCACTTTAAAGAACAAAATGTATAAAATATATTTTTATAATAAAAACTTACATGGGCATATAATTGTGTATTAAATCTAGCCTTACATTCCTATATTATAAAACTGAAAAATAACAATATGTGCCCCACAGATGATTCAGTATGGTCTCGGGTCTCATTCATGGAAGCTCTTGTCCACTCTTACTCTGGCTACCATCTTGGAAAGTCTGTCATAAAAGAAACTATGCCTCGGTTTTGGTCCCTAGTTATAATGTTTTAGGGCTCTGGAAACAAACATCCCAGGTGATACCACAGCTGTCAGAGCCTGAAATGTTTGAGAAACAATCAAAAGCAGAGTTCCTAATCTAAGAGCAACTTTTAAAATCAGACTTGCACACCCACTGGGCTACAGATTTCTGTGTTAGGAGAAAGTAGTCAAACTGGGTGAATACATGAAGAGATGTTTTCAGATATAAGACTCTTCACCATGTGTATTTCAAGGTATTTTAATGAAGAGACTTCAGTCTCCCAGATTTTGCTGGGGTAGGTTGTCTTTAGACAGGCAGGAGAAGATAGTTCTTTTTGGACTTTGCCTTGTAGGTCAGACTTGCAGGCAATATCTGCTTTTAGTATTTCCTTTTCTCTATTCCTAGGGTTATGGCTTCTCAAATACTTCAAGTGATCAGGATAGACAGGTGTTGCAATGGATATGTGGGCTGTGTGTGATCTGCGGTGTTCCCAGATGGATGTCTCTTCAGGAAGCGACTTTCCTTTTGTACTTTTCCTGTGTGTACATCAGAACGTAGGCACCTCAGAGACTGAGCTTCAGATACATTTGAACGTTTACTGAGCCTCTACAACAAACACTTGCTAGATGTAGCAGAGGGTTCACTGATGAATAAGACAGATCCCTGCCCTACAAAAAGGAAAAGAGATCAATGGGTATCCAGGAGCTATAAAATGAGGATGACTGTGATAAGTACAGTACAGTCATGGTTTGTTATAAATGGTGCTCTGCTGGCTTCCTGTTGCAGCCACAAACTCAGTGATTTAAAACAATAGAAATGTATTCTGTTACTGAGGCTTGAAGTAGGAAATGAGTCTTACAGGACTAAAATTTAGGGCATGAGAAGGGCCATTGTTTTTCCTCTAGAGAATTTATTTCCTAACTCTTCTGGTTCCTAGTGACCACTGGCATTCCTCAGCTTGAGGCTACATCACTCTGGTCTCTGCTTCTGTGGTACTACTGCCTCCCCTTCTCTGTGAAATGTGCCTCTGACTCCCTCTTACTAAGACCCATGCAAATGCATGTTGGGATCACCTGGAGAAACTAGGCTAATCTCCCCATTTTAAGATCCTTAACAAAAGCACATCTATAGAATCTTGTTCTGCCATGGAAGGTAATCTTTACAGATTTCAAGAATTAATTAGCTCATGGTGGGCATCTTTGGGACAGGGGCATTGTTTAGCCAACTACAGGTGCCAGTCTTGTTTTGCTGCCCCACAAACTGGAGAATTTCCATCTGTGATGTCCAGTATGGTAACTACTAGTCTTGTTGACTATAGAGCACTTAAGATGTGTCTGACATGATTAATTCAACAGCACTCTAAACATTCACATGATGAGAACAAAGGAGGATATTCTTAGGAGAGGAGTGCAAGGGCTCAATAATTATGAGCCTAAGATCAGACAAAATGATGCTTATCGAAATGAACTCCAAGAAATGGAAGAGGTGGGGCTGGGAAGGTGGCTCAGTGTACAGTGCTCGCCTTTCATGCATGAGGCCCTGGGTTCGATTCCTCAGCATCTCATAGGCAGAAAAAGCCAGAAGTGGTGCTGTGGTGGTGCAAGTGGTAGAGTGCTAGCCTTGAGCTGAAGAGCTGAGGGACAGCACCTAGGCCCAGAGTTCAGGCCCCACGACCGGACCCCAAAAAAAAAATAAAAAAGAAGCTCAGGGACAGTGCCCAGGCCCTGAGTTCAAGCACCAGGACTGGCAAAAAAAAAAAAAAAAAAAAGAAATGGAAGAGGTTTATTATTATACTGTTTGCGGTTCTTCTTTCTTTGATTTATTCCCTTCTATTGCTGTTTTTGATTTCTGTTCCCTTTGTCTTGTATATAAGTTTACCTGGTTTGGGGAGGGGAAGAGGAGGCACAGAAATGGTGGGACAGAAGGTGAACCAATTCAGCAGGGACACCCACTGGACACTATGTTGGAAAGGAACGACACAACTCTGGGGGTGTGTGTGGGGAGTCAGGAGGGAAAAACTGGGAGAGAGTAAGGGAGGGGGTGACACTGTTCAAAAGGAGATGTACTCATTACCTGACTCATGTAACTGTAACGTCTCTGTAATAACCTTTATAATAAAAAAAATGTGTCTGAGTTGAGATGTGATGGAAGGGTAAAACACCATATTGTGAAGATTTGTGAAAAATAAAACTAGGAGATCTCAGTAATTTTGATGTTGATACATGTTGAAATGATAACATTTTGGATACATCAAATTAGTATATAATTAAAACTAGTATGGAAGCTGGGCACTGGTGGCTCATGCTTCTAATTCTAGCTACTCAAGAAAGTGAAATCTGAGGAGTGTGGTTCAGAGCTAGTTCTGGCAGGAAATTCCATGTGATTTTATCTTCAATGAACCACCAAAGATCCAGAAGTAGAGCTGTGGCTCAAGTGGTGGAGCACTAGCTTTAAAAGAAAAAGCTCAGGCCTTGAGTTTACTTCCAGAACCAGCATAAAATAAAATAAAATAAAATAAAAATTCCCCAAACCTGTGGCTCTTTTACTTTTTAAATATACTAGTAGAAGCTTTAAAAATGCCTATGTGGCTTGTACTTGTGGTTTGTCTTCTGTTTCTGCTGCACTGTCGTCTTGACCAGCTACCAGAGTACTTCTCAAGCTATTTCCCATTGGAGTCACAGAGGGGGCTCACCAACTTCCTTGAGCAGGCTGCATCCCAGTCCCATTAAATAGGAAATCTCTCCAGAAATCCCGGAAATTCCAACATGCAGTTGAGGTTGAAAGTCCTTGGAGCAGAGACCTGCAGGAGGGTTAATCGTTCAAAGAGCATTTCTGGTTCAAGGATCATTATGCGGAGGTATGCTAACTCTCTTTTGCAAAGCACAGAAATATCTTCTGGTTTGGGCTTTCCTCCATGGATGTATGCTTCCATCCAACCCATAGAGTGTGGCTGTGGCTAGGGATGGGCAAAGGGACAGAACTGCTGCTATCAAGAGCCAAGAAATCTCCACGTTTTGAGGTCAAGGAGCTGGACCATTGTTCTCTGGGTGCTCCTGTGCTTTGGTCAGATCAGCTCATTCCTGGTAGTCACTGCCATCAAACACGACAGAACAAAAAGAGACAATGAGCAGCAAGCGCCTAACCATTCAATCTGAGTATGTGGATAAGCCGAAGCACTTTAAGGGGCTCCCAGAGGAGGTGTTTGGGAGGCATCCATCAGTAGCCTTATTCACCTGCACAAATTCTCTTATGGGCTTCCTAAATATCTGTTTTCTCTGGATTGGGCCCGAGAGGCTAAAGTCTAATGTATTTATGTTGAGTTTTGAGGTACTGCCTGACAAATTGCTTGTTGTTAGGGCAACATAAGATGTTTTTCTGGCTGCCTGTGTTCCTCTATGCAACACGGACACGAGGAGGTGTACCCCACCTTGGTTATGTAGCTTGCTCACATCTGGCATCGGCAGTACCTACACCACTGGAGCGCATTTCACAGAAATTTGATGTTAAGTTATTAAAGCGCCATAGGATCCTACATTTAAACATTTCTTCTAAACTGCATGCTACCCCCCTGGCTTCACCAATAGCACATACTAAGCAGTAATTCATATCTTTTAAGAGGAAAGGGTCTTGTGTATTTATTATGGGCCATGAGACATCTCAAACTGGAAGGACTAAAAAATATCTGCATAAGGTTTCTCTGGCCAGCTCATGCCTCCATCTCTGCTTCCTGTCCTCTTCCCCTCCCTTCCACAAGTGCTAACTCGTACACCCTGTCTTGAAGGAGCTTTGAGGTTAATAGAGGGGAAAAGACACTGTGTTAACTATTTGTGATGCTATGGAAAAATACATAGCACTGGGTAATATATAGACACGAGAAATTTCATACCATTCTGGAGGCCAGGAAGCTGGAGATTAAGAGGTTTGAACGTCTTATCACAGGCAGGGGATGGGCCCTCTGTAGGGAGGTTGTTCAGAGCCACGAGCTATTCAGTCAACCGCGGACATGCAGCTACTGGGCTTGACTTTTTTCTAGAGACTCTATTCGTTAATGTGGACAGCAGGTGTTGGAGTTAGAAGGGCCAGTATGGAGGGTCAGGGGAAGCCTGGGTGGTGGTAAAATCTCCTTGATCCTAAATGTCATATGCCACAAAGACATCAGGACTGAAAGACTTAGGGCCACATATTTATGATTGCTTTTTTTGATAGCTCCAGTTACAGAGCCCAGGTCTGCATAAGGAACTATTAATTGGTACCCAATAAATATTTGTTTTCTTCTTTATTATGAAAACAAGTCTGATTTTACTTGTGACATTAATTTGCCCAACTTTTAAAGAAGTATAATACTGACTAGAGCTGGGTAGAAAGAAGAGTGAGATGCTACTAGATCCAAAGAATTTGTAACTGAAACACTGCTAAAGTATAAATGCTCTGAGAAAAAATGCCTAGCGCCAGGACTAGGAAGGGGAAGCACGTGTTTGGTTCAGTAGAACTGAGGGGACCAGCAAGGCCACTGTTTGCTCTCAGAAAACCAGGTCTCAGTCCTCAGCTGACCACAGTTTAACAGCTTTACTGGGGCTGCACACTGAAGAGCTAGTAGAAGGACAGATTTAGATCTCACCCTAACAACAGATGGAGAGTCTTCCCTCTTCACCCTACTTAGCTGAGGCCCAGGGTGAAGCCGGGCCAGGCTGGGTGTAGATTCCCATCCAGGAAATGTCACGCTCCGGATAGTGTGCATCTTTCTTTAGACAAAAAATATAATTTCATAGCCAATTCCATCCATTCCACTTCACCAAAGAGTAAGGAGCCCAAAGATAAAGAGTCCAGAGACTAGAGATCTGCCTTCCAGACATGACCTCCATAAAAAAGCTGATCTAGTAGTGGCACTTGCCTGTGGCAAAGAGGAAAAGGGAAATCTCCTCGGCTGGCATTTCAGCTTGCCTAAGGGGCCCTGCTTTGCTCCAAGGGCAGGGGCTGCGTTGACCTTAAAATCAGGGCCTCAGCAAGCAGCAGACGAAGGAATTTAATTTTCTTCCTAAAGGCTTTGATCCTTTTCACATAAAAAATGGAAAGCCTCAGTACTTTCTTCTGAAGCTTCTTCACAAGGTGGTGGAGTTTTAGAATGAGACCTGGAGATGGGGGAGGATGGTCCCCAAATAGCAGTGCCCCGGAAAGGCTATTTGGTCCTTTACAGCATTAGGGTTTTCTTACCTCCTCCTCCCTTGTCTTCGTCTTTTCGCCTATGCTCTAAAGTGCACACAGCGGGTTATCCCTCAAGTTCCAACCCCCTTTTTACCCCCTCAATACCAAACACTTCACTTATTGGTCAGCAGCTGTTTCCCCTGCCTGGTGACCAGCCGGGACAAGCAGAAGAGAGAGGGAAGGGAGCGTCTTCGGTCACAAGGTGGCGCGCGCGAGCCTCCCAAAGCCCGGCGGTCCCCAGCCCCGCACCTGCTCCGGGCACGGGCCCCACCCCGCTCGCTTCCCGGGCGCTCCAGGAGCCGCGCCCCCTGCCCTCCGGGGCGGGACAGCGCTGAGCGCGCCGGGGAGCTCCAGGTGGCGGAGGAGGGAGAGCCTGGTCCCGGCCCCCGTGGAAGGTGCAGCGGACCGCCCGACGTCCCCCGGGCCGCAGGCTCCGCCCCCAGCCGCCCCCCCCACCCCTCCCCAGCTTGAGCTCTGCCAATCGAAGGCTTCCCAGAGCAGCTGGGAGCGGCGAAGGCGGCGGGAGGAGCGCAGCCGGCCGGCCGCTCGGAGCCTTCGGGCCACCCGGGGCAGAGCCGCGGGGCTG